AACCCCTTGCGCCACTAGGGAGACCCTGCACCTAAATTTCTGATCCACCTGTGCTTTTAAGTTGCTAAGTTTGGTGTAATATGTTTTATGGCAATAGATAACTAATACAGGGCTATGAAGGATCCAAAGTCAAATAAGAATTAGCCCCCGAACTCAGTGACCCTCAAGTCTATTAAGGGGAATAGAAAAGTAACAAGGATCAAAATGTTAGCAGACAGATTGAGTGGCACCTTGGTCCCCAAACCTGCAAGCTCTAAATGTGTTCTGCCATCCACCTCGTAAAGACAAAGCATGCTGTTAGTGTGAAAGAACTTTAATAGTGTGCACAGAGAGAAAAGAGAATAATAACAGGATAATAGTTTCCCAGAGAAAAACCCAAAGTTACACATTTCAGGCCCCGCCATGGGTAAATGCCCATCCAAATGGGATTGTTCCGAAGGAGGGCTTCTGAGACCCATAATCTTGCCCCAAGTCTAAGGCACCTTCTGGCAGGGAACCATAGAAAAGGGGCAGAAGGTGCCAGGCAAGTCTGTGGTGAAAGGTGCACAAAGTACAAATCAAAGTAACAGCTGCCATTGTCAGCTTCCCCATGGGTCTCTCGCCCACATGTCTTCCAATTGTCTCTGTGTGTTTCGATCCCATGTATTTCCTTCCATGTCCTTCTAGTCTCTGATGAAAGTCCAAATTCAAAAAGCAAGTGGCCCTTCTTCACATGTCTCTCTGCTCTACATGCCTCCTGGAGTCTTCTTCAGCTTCTCACCCCCAGTTTCACCCTTCATTAGTGGGTCAGGAAACCTGGAGCCTCCCCTTTTTATGGAGATTATACTGTTACAACAGTATAGTATAGTGCTATTAAAACACACAGGGCAATGATGAGCGCACAGAAAAAAGAGAATTTCATTTGTACTTTAAGGCTAAAAGACTCATGCAGCATTGAATGAGGAGGAAAGGAAGTAGGATATTTGAAGAAAGTGAATTTTTAGACCTCCTGGAAGAGTACTCAAGGGTTATGGAAAAGAGACAAGTAATGGTATCGGGACCATCTGGAGTTGGGGTTGGAGATAATGGCCTTAGAGGATCTTCAGTTGAGGTTGGGTTTATTTATTTATTTATTTATTAAGATTTATTTTATTTATACAAGAACCGAGGTACAGGCCAGATAAGCGGGAAGGTAAGAGGATTCACTGGAGACAGAGCAGGGAACCGAACAGGCAGACTGACTGAAATACACTGCTGAGGGGAGCAGCGGGCGAGACAGGAGAGGTCTGCTCGCCAAATGGGTTGTTCCAAGGCCGACAGGGATCCAACTGGCACTGCAGAGGCTGTGGACAGCTTCACAGCACTGCGGTCAACCACCTGAGCCACCTGAGAGGCCCTGGGTTTATTTTTTAAAAGCTTTAGTAGTCTGGATAAAATTAGGGAACTCCGAAAAGGTAAATCAGAAAAGCAAAGGACCAACAAAAAGAGGTGAGAAAAATAGCAAGACAATTCTGTTCTTAAAATTTAGGTTGAATAGGGAAAGAAAGACACTCAGAGCTGTTGAGTCTTTGCTGAAGTCAGATGCAGCCAATTCTGACTTCCCAGCAATCACCAGGGCTAAGGAAGTCTATGCAGACACATGACTTCCTGAGTTGTTGGAGACTTTCAGCTAAAGGTGGGAAGGAATAGTTACCTGGAAGAAAAACTAGGTGTTCTAACACAGAAAGAGTGAAAGGATGCTAGAACAGAGACTGTGATTCCCTACAATCGTCTCCGGTTCTTCTAGAGTATGAGTTCCTGATTTTGAGGGAATGGAATAACAGTTGCATTTCCTAGTCTCATCAAGAATGTTCTCGTAAGTAATGAGCTGATCAAAGGCACTTGGAAAGACTTGGGGGTGCGAAACTTACTGTGTTTTTAAAGCTATTTCCATTTCTTTGACTCCTTTCTGGCAGTTGGAATGTGGTTGTGGTGGTGAGCCAACTAGAGCCTTGAAGAAGATTCCATCCTAAGGAGGGCAAAATAAACAGAAAGAGCCTGCAATTCCTAGATCATCTCCTGAGACTTCACGACCCTGCATGAGAGGTAATTAAACTGCATTCTTTAAAGGCACTTTTGATGTGATTCTCTCTTATGACCCTCTGGACTTGTATTTCCAGTAATTCCATTACCCACTAAAAATGATTAGCCAGGAATATAAATGACACAGCATGGCAATAAAAGCAGTAAGCATTGCACAGAGACACAGGTGAAAAGTAAAGATAACAGAGGAGAATCACAGCCACTCAGGCTGTGAGCTTTCAAAAAGAACTGAAAGTTTTTGATCAGTGACAGGCTGCACACTGTTCACAGAGGGTGGAACGCAGGTCAGCTAGTGTGACCTTGACAGCTGACTCTTCCAGAGAGGCAGACAGTAGTGACTCGAGAAAGCATTGGTAGTGGGATGGTAGTGACAACTGGCCTGGGCATCAAGCTCACCTAAGCAACATTTGAACCTTGGTTTACTCGCTTAAATTTCTCCTGGTTTGAACTAAAATTGGGTTATAATTTATAATAATCATAGAAATTTAGGGGCAGGAGAAATGCTAGCAACCGGTAAAACCTTCTGCTCCAATGCACTTAAAGAAAACTAGTAATTCCAGGGCCTCCCTGGTGGCGCAAGGGGTTAAGACGCAACCTGTGAAGCTCACCGCAGCCACTGCAGCATGAGTTCGATCCCTGTCCAGGGAGATGACCCACATGGCGCAGCAGACCTTTCCTGCCTCACCCGCTGCTCCCTCAGCAGTGTATTTCAGTCAGTCTGCCTGTTCTGTTCCCCACTCTGTCTCTGGTGAATTCTCTCACCCCTCACAACTCTGGTCAGTACCCCACTTCTTGTATGTATAAATAAATAATTCTTAAAAAAAAAAAAAACTAATAATTCCAGAAGTGCTGATAAATTTTGCACAAAGCCAGTACTAATCCCCAGGTAAATGTGGGTCAAAAGTTTTTACTTAATTTATAAAGAATCCCTGTGAAGCTTCCTTTCTCTAGCAGAATTACAATAGGTCGCTATTTACAATGACTTCATCTTTTCACGAATACACCTCTTGTAGTGGTATAGCAGCAGTCTTTAGTTTTCAGAATACTTGCACATATGTTCTCCTTTGACAATTAATGGTCCTGTGCAGTGAAGTACCTGGAGGATTGGTAATACTCCCATTTTACTGATAAGGAAAATTGAAGCTGGAAGTGTTATGAGCTCTCTTTCCTAATTGTCATTCACTTTGCTAGCTTCTTTTGACCTTTGCTTTATTGAGGAAAAATATGTGACTCATGATCAAATTGTAATAAATCTCAAATTATTGAGTTCCCCCACCCCTCTTTTAAATTGACAGCTACACTGGTCCAGTAGGTAGACTCTGGCCACATGTGGTTATTGAGATTTAAGGTAGTTTAAATTAAATAAGATGGAAAATTCAGTTCCCTAGTCCCACTGTAACAGGGTGGTCCCCAGGAAAGGGGGAGGTTCCGGATTTCCTGCTCCACCCAACAGATAGTGGAGCTGAGGAGAGAGAGAAGAAGCTGGAGAGGAGACTGAGGAAGGAAGGAAGCAGGATGGAGAGCCAGGAGACCTGGAGGAGGCACATGGAGCTGAGACACACATGAAGAAACTGCGCTTGCCTTTTGGTCGTGGACAGGGTGACACAGATGTGGGTGAGACCCGTGGGGAGGTGACAATGGCGGCTTTTGTCTTGCTTTTGATTTTGCTCTTTTCCCTCCAGACTTGTTTGGTTGTTTCTGACCCTTTTCTGGGGGGCCCCACTGGAAGATGCTTTAGACTTGCGGCAGGCTTTGGGGCCTTGCTCTGGGCCAGTCCCATTTGGATGGACTTTTACCCACGAGGGGACGGGTCACTTTGGGTGCTTGATTTAGAAACTAGATTCTTTGCCTTTGTTGTCTTGTTTCCTAATTGTATTAAAGTTCCTTCCCATTAAAGTTTCATATGTGTGTGTGATACGGAGGATGAACCTATTTAGAGCAGGCAGGTTTGCGGGGTCTGGGCTGCCCCTCTCCCTGCCCTATAACACCACTAGCTGTCGTAGAGCAACCCCAATACAAAACGGGGTGCCTGACTGTGGGTCCTCACCTGCGCGCTTAAAAGGACTTATCAATGCTCTACTGCAGGCACACGCAAAAGGTTAATAAAAGGTTTATTTACAAGGAAAGGGGAAATGAGGAAATGTACAGCTCAGGGAGAAAAGTGGGAGACAAAGTTTTAAATGTGTCCCACCGGATCCGCCGATCAGGAATCCCAAATGGCGCTCTGAGAGCTGGCTGCCAGCCAGGAGCCCTGAAGCCAGGAGGCAAGTGACAGCGAGACCCCCCAAGGCCCACGTGTTTGGTTTTTATACCCAACCTGGCTGCCCAACTCCACCCTAAGGTCCCAGCCACCTTCCCTTTGGTGGTGATGGGATTTGTCTTTCCCAATGTCCTGATGGCTTTAGTCTGGAGTGGGGGTGGAGTCCACAAAGCCTGTATGGGATTAGCTCAGGACATCATTTCTCCCTAACATAGCCACTGAGTTTCCTTTGCTTGGGGCTCACACGTGGCTTGTGGCTGCTCTGTGCTGGGCAGCGCAGAGGGACGTACTGAAGAGGTCTCCGCCGGCCCTCAGTCTTTCTTCCAGGCTGTGTAGACTCCAAGCCCGAAGACTGGGGAGAGCTTGGGCTCTGCCACTTCCTAAAGGTGACTTCCCAACCGTTCATCGCCTGGCCTCGTCTTGCTGAGGTGAGAAAAGTCCAGGAGTCTCCTCCAGGACAGCAACCTGGCAGCGGACAGGAGTGGGGGCGGGGGGAGGGGACGGTCTCCCGCGCCAGACGGGGAAGGGGCAGGAGACGAGGGGGCGGGGCCGCGCGCGGCGCGTCCGGACAGGCGCGTCACGAGGCGGGGGCGGGGCCTTGCGCCTACGGGGCGGGGCCGCGCGCGCGGGGGCCGGAGGGGCGGGGCCGCCGGCGCGGCGGCCGGGCTGTGCGTGCTCACGTGACCGGTCCGCGAGGCCCCGCTCGCGCAGTCGTCCGGGCGAGCGAAGATGGCGGCCGAGAGGGAACCTCCTCCTCTGGGGGACGGGAAGCCCACCGACTTTGAGGAGCTGGAGGACGGGGAGGACCTCTTCACCAGCACCGTCTCCACCCTAGAGGTGAGCCCGCGTCGCCGTGGGCGCCGCGCCCCGCCACTGCCGCGCGCCTCACCTTTAGGTGCCTCTTCCCTGCCCGACTGTTGCCTCCCCGCCCCCCGGCTTGGCCGGGCCAGGTCGGGGCGACACCTGTGACAGCGCCTGCACCCCCGGACCTGTCAGTGGGGTCGAGCTCCGTGTGGGCGGCTGGGCCTCCGCCGGGGCCCGCGCGGCGGCGGGGCCCGACCTCCTCTCAGGGGCCGGAGCGCACAGAGCATCGCAGCGCGCTGGCCCGCTCCGCTGGCCTTCCTCGGGGTCACCTGCGCCCCGTTTTCCAGCTCCGTGGAGGGTTTACCCTGAGTCTCAGTGAGCCTCACTGCGCTCCCCGGCGACCTCCGCAGTCCCTCCGGAGCGGCGCTGGCTCTCCCTTCCCCGGGGAGGGTGTGCCCTGGCGGGGAGAGCGACCCAGGGGCAGCCGGGGTGTGCGGGGAGCGCGCGGGGGCCCTGGTCCCCGGGGCCCCTGCCTGCGCTGCTGGCTCCCCTGGGCAGAGGTGCTTCTGGTGGAGACTGCTCGAGGGATTAATGCATTCGGCTGGGCTTGTTGGGCTTTTCTAGTTCTGGACCTTCAAAGGGTCCCGGTGTTTGTAAAATACAAAGTTGAAGGGAGGGAGAGTTCAGGGAACTGCGCTGTGTGTTTTTCTAAGTTACCAGGGGAGAAATGAAAGCGCCTCACTCCCTTTTCCTCTTTTCTCGCATGGTCAGCGATGTCTGAAGTTGAATGTTCCTGTTTTTGTCAAAGGAAACTCCCTCGATGAACTTAACAGTATTGGGCCTCCCAGATCCATCCAGTTCTTGTTTGAATTGCTTTGCACACGCTCCTCATAGCCCAATTTTAAGTGTGTGTATGGGGGTTGAAACGGAAGCAGGTTTGCCAGCAGGTCGCTTATCTTGGGCTGTACTTCTCTTCTCATAAGCTGCTTTTTCGTGAGTTTTCTTGTCGTGTTCAACCACGCACCGAATCAACTGGAAATTAAAACATCCATTATCTGAAATGGAATACCTGACACTGGGAACTTCCGGGAACCGTTTTCAGCCCTGACCACATTTTGCTAAGTGTATGTGCAGGTTACTGGCCAAACTCCACTTCCCCTCGGGGTATATACTTCTGGGGCTAGGGGTAAAATGCCTCAGTCGTGTTTTTGTTCACCATAAAATCTCAGACATTTGCATTTAGTGAATGCCTGCCAGATTGTCAAAACCCAGCATTTCCTAAGGACTAGTAAAAATTATCTTGCAAAAAAAAATTACGTTTTTAGCTAGTGTCTTTTCAGCTCTATGCAGCTGCCTTCACCTGTGTTAAAAGTGAGTTTCTGTGCGGGATCCTAAAACCGGTATTCTTTTTGTGAGTTACAAAAGTTTTTCATCAAAAGAATCAAGACAAACTTAATTAACTTAGTATAAACTAGAAAACTATGAACTCTAAGCATTGTTTGGTGTTCATTAGAGTCTTTGAGAATTGAGTAAAATGAGCTGTAATCTTTTTCTCATGTGGCAGAGACCTTTTTAAAATATGCTTGTCTTTTTCCAGTAAAAGTCTGCAGAAGTTTGATTATGAATAAATTCATCTTGTGCATTATGAAAGCTGGAAATAAGTTGATCATCTAAACCCTTTGTTTCATAGACAATTACAAGTTATTTTAAGACGGTGATATATTTTGAGACTTGTGAACTCAGAATGTTTTGCTTTTCAAACTTTTTGAGGAAAAATCTATAGCAGTGTTTCTTAGTATACCAAAACTGCTCTAAAGGAACGTTCTTTTAAGCTTTTATTTTAAACTATGCTTCTCACACTTCAGTGTGCTGGAAAAACCAGAGGATTCTTATTTAAGATGCGTATGTCTTCAACACACATCAATCTATATGTTGATTAAGTGTTCTAGATCAGTGTTTTCCATTCTTTATAATTGTAACCTAGGGATCTTGCTAAAGTGCATAATGATTCTCTAGGGCTGGGATTAGACCAGTAGTCTGCATTTTTAGCTTTCCTGATGAATTTGCTTCTGGTCCACAAAAAGCAATGATTTGCAAGGCCTCAAGCGATGCTGATGCAGAGCACATATTTTTGAATAATTATTACCTGAGCTATAAATTGAAAGTAAGACATAAATTAATCTTTAAATTCTAAAAATTAGTTTATTACATTATTTATATAAAGATTTTTTCTTTTGTGGATATTTAGTAGGGCAATCAATTGAAATCCATTTCAGAGAAAATCAAAGTATAGACAACTTCAGTGACATAATTATTAAACTAGTAATGACTCTACAACTTAGTGTACATGTAGGTTTATGAGTATATTTTAACCCAATAGTTAAGTGCGTTCCTTTCAAAATTTAGAATAGTTACATAAAGTGACATACTCTGTTGTATGTTTCTTTTACGATTAGGAAATGAAATGGTGAGAGGCTGTCATAGAGGCTGTCACAGGGAAATTAATGAAAAGGGGGGAGAATCAGGTAAAATCATTTTTTGGTACCCGAGAAGCAAAACTTTAATGTTTGTAAATGCTGCTTTTTTTCTTACATGATAAAACCCTTTGCTTAAAGATGCTTGCCCTAAAGCAGCATGGGGGTAGTAAGACAGCACCTTTTACAAAAATTAAGTCTGGAAATTTCTATTATACGCCTACTTTTCTTTTTAAAAGCTTTATCAAGGTGTAATTCACATACCATATAGTTCACCCATTTCTTTGTACAATTAAATGGTTTTATTATATTCACAGATGTATGCGAGCATCACCACAGTTTTAGTATATTTTCATCACCTCAAAAAGAAACCCCATGCCCTTTACTCCTTCTCTCCCCATTCCCTAAACCCCTTTAACCTGAGACATAAGCAACCATTAATTTACTTTCTTTATCTTACAGACTTTCCTATTCTGGATTTTATATGAATGCAGTCATACAATTTGTAGCCTACTGTTAACTGAATTTCAATTAGCATAATGTCTTCAAAATCTGTCTTTCATCCCTTGTTAAGCCCAAATAATACTTCATTGAATGACTATACCAAATCTTATTTACCCTTTCATCAGTTGATGGTCATTTGGGTTGTTTCCACTTTTTGCCTTCTATGAATGATGCTGCTATAAATGTTTGTGTACAGATAGAATTGCTCGGTCATACAGTAACTCTGGTATAATCATTTGGAGAATTTCCAAACTGGTTCCTCAAGTGACAACAGCATTTTCCATTCCCACCCAGTGTGAGGGTAACGATTATCCACATCCACACCAACACTTATTATTATTTAGCTTTTTTGTTCTGTCCATCCTAAAGGATGTGAAGTGGTTTTGAGTGCATTTTCCTGATCACCGATGGTATCACATCTTTTTTATGTACATTGGTTGCAGATAACTTTTCTGATGAAATTTCAATTTCTGCTCAGCTCATTTATTACTGGATTTTCCTTTCATGTTGATTTATACAAATTCTTTATATATGCCAGACACAAGTTCCTTGTCATGTATGTATTTGCAAATATTTTCTTCCATTCTGTGGATTGTCTTTTTGGTTCTCCATGGTGTCCTTGTAAGCTCAAATTTTTTAAATTTTTATGATGTTCTGTTTGTTTTACTTAAACATTTTCGGTTTCATACCTGAGAATCCTCTGCCAAGACCAACGTCATGATTTTTATGTTTGTGTTTCATCATTTCGGCACTTTTAGGTCTTTCATTCGTTTTGAGTTCAGTTTTGTAGATGGATGTGATGAGATTGACTTCATTCTTTTGCATGTGGCACATCTGAGTGTCTGCTGAAGTTAAGATGAATACCATAGTTTCCCCAGCACTGTCTTGTGGATAGAATTTATAGAGCATTTTAAATGAAATTTTCAGATGGGAGGCTCACGGGTCTTAGAATTCTTTTTCCACAATTTAACCCAATGCTGAAAGAGCTCAAACTTGGTTGACTTCCCTAAATACTTGAATATATACTTTCTGCCATACTGTTTAGATAATAGCAATGCAAACCCAACAAGGTGTATGAAAACTTTGAGGACAGAAAATTGCCAGTGGGGAAGAAAACTCCTACAGATAGACGGATTATATGATCTGAGAACAAACCATTTACTGAAAGTACAGCAGGCCTACTAACATCATCTGCACCTTTTCCTTGTACTGTTGATGGAAAAAAAAAAAAAAATCAAAATCAATCCTACCCAAAGCCACTGACTCTGTGGAGTTTGCGCATTCTCCCCATGTCTGCGGGGTTTTAATTCAGGTATTCAGATTTCATCCCACACCCCTGATTCGTATGTGATTTTACTGGCATCTGAGTTGTGCCAGTCTGGGTGTGTGTGAGGTGTGTATGTGAGTGCACCCTGCTATGAAGGAGTAGGGTCTCTGAGCACTCAGGGGGAGGCAGCCCTGAACTGGAGTAAGTGGGCTGGAAGTGAAATTGATGAGTAAAAATTACTGTATAATATTTGAAATGTTTTGGATCTTTATTTAGAAGCTTGGTTATGTTTTTGAGACCATAAATATGCCAAAGATACTTGGCTCTTTTTTGTATCAATTGAAATATGTAAAACTGGTTTTGTTTCATATCATTTGGTTTCAAATTGCAATTTCCAAGAAACTCTCAACAAGGTTAAGTGGGGATTTAAATGTTTCAATGATGGGGATGGTAGGGGTTCCAATTTTGTTGTGTCACTGTTCCTGACAAGTAGTAGATAAACAGGAAATGTTTCTGTTGACTAATAAAAGCTTTTTGAGGAGGTAATGTGTAAGAGAGACCTTAAAGTGTAGAATGAAACTTAAAAACGGTAAAGTGGCAATGATCCATATTCTCTTTTTTTTAAAGATTTTTTAAAAAGTTATTTATGCATATAAGAGCTGGGGTATAGGCCAGAGGTGTGAGGAGTGAGAGGATTCACCAGAGACTGAGTGGGGAGCAGAACAGATTGATTGCCTGAAATATACTGCTGAGGGGGAGCAGTGGGAGAGACAGGAGAGGTCTGCTGT